ATGAACTGCTGACAATGCATGGTGTGAATTAATTTTAGGCATAAATTCCACAAATGGTAATTCTTATTCATAATACACATAGACCTCCCTGGTGGTCAGGTGGTAAAGCATCTGCCTACAATGCGGGAGACCTGGGTTCGATCCCTGGGTCTGGAAGATCCCCTGGAGAAGGAAATGGCAACCCACTCCATTACTCCTGCCTGGAAAATCCCATGGACACAGTCCACAGGGTCACAAAGAGTCGGACACGACTTCACTTTCACTTTCAGTCTCTATCAGTGTGGAAGAGGGACAAGCACTATAGTCCAGTGGTTGACTCATTCCCCAGGTACCTGGGCTGGAAGCTTGCAGCACATCCGCATTAAACCGTGATTGCTTGTTTACTTTCCACAAAGTCAGACACGACTGAGGGACGGAGCACACACGACTTCCTCCTGATACACTGGGCCCCTCAGGACAGACCCCCATCTCATCTATCTTTGTATGCACCACACGCATTCCATTTCTTTACTTTGGGTTTCGAAATGGCTTCCTTTGTGGCTCTGCTGGTAAAGAATCTGCCTGCAATGGGGGAGACCTGGGTTTGATCCCTGGGTTGGGAATATCCCCTGGAGAAAGGAAAGGCTACCCACTCCAGTATTCTGGCCTGGAGAATTCCATGGGCTGGAGAGTCCATGGGGTTGCCAACAGTCAGACATGACTGAGCGACTTTCACTTTCACAAATTATATATAAACCTAGATTTTTTTTTATAGACAAACCGGAATAATCTGGAATCAAGAGAATTTCATTTTATTTATGTTTTAAAAGATTTCTTTGTTGTGGACCATTCTTAGTCCTTATTGAATTTGCTATAATATTGCTTCTGCTTTATATTTTGGTATTTTGGCCAGGAGGCATGTAGGATCTTAGCTTCCCAACCAAGGATCAAGTCTGAATCTGCTACATTGGAAGATGAAGTCTTAACAGCTGGACCTCTAAGGAAATCCCAAGAAAGCTTTATTTTAAGCCTACCCTTGCTTTGAACTCAGGTACTGCCAGAAAAAAGTAAGAAATTTCTTTTTCTTCCTCTTTTATTTCCTCCCTTTCTGTTGTCAACAGTAGCAATAATAATAAATTGCTTTGTAAATTGTAGACAATTTCTATGTGTAATGGGGCTTCCCTGGTGGCTCAGAGGTTAAAGCATCTGCCTGCAATGCGGGAGACCTGGGTTCGATCCCTGGGTTGGGAAGATCCCCTGGAGAAGGAAATGGCAACCCACTCCAGTATTCTTGCCTGGAAAATCCCATGGACAGATGGGAGCCTGGTGGGCTATGCTCCATGGGGTAGCAAAGAGTCGGACACGACTGAGCGACTTGACTTTCTATGTGTAATCGTCTTCATATCAATATACTTTCTCTACTTATCACACACTAGATTCCACATTGGCACACGCTATCACAAAAGTGACATCTCTTTGGAGGATATATGTATCCTTCAACTCTTCTGTGTCCTCGTATTGTTGTTGCCCTTGCTGTTTAGACATGAAGCCATGTCTGACTTTTTGAAACCCCATGGACTGTAGCTAGTCAGGCTCCTCTGTCCATAGGATACCCCAGGCAAGAATACTGCAGTGGGTTGCCATTTTCTTCTTCAGAGGATCTTCCCAACCCAGGAATTGAACCCACATCTCCTTCACGGGCAGGAGGATTCCTTACTCCTGAGCCACCAGGGAAACCTGTGTCTTTGTTGTTCAGTTGCTCAATTGTATCCAACTCTCTGCAATCCCACGGACTGCAGCGTATCAGCCTTCCGTGTCATTCACTATCTCCCAGAATTTGCTCAAACTCATGGTATGTTTGAATCTACTCACAATCATCAAGCATTAAACGGCCCCAGATAAGTGTCACGCCCATCATTAACCCTGCCCCCTTTAATAATAAATCTCTCTAAATATTACTGAGCAACTAACACTAAATATTTCAGGATTGCAAATACACTTTCTTGCAAATGAATTCCATTTGACTGATAGGGATGTCTTGAGGTCCTCTATTGAGAAAGAATCTGAGGTTATCTTCACTCTTAGCAATAAAATTAGTAAAGGAGATTGGACAAGTGGTATACATGCTGTATATTTGCCATTCCTTTTCTATGGCCTTTAATTATTTAACCCCAAAGTGAAAAGTGACATAGGCACTCATTTACTCATTAGTTCCTCATTCAAGATATACTTTGGAAACTGACTATGATAGGCTCCTAATAGCCAATATAATTAGAGATTTATTTTTTCTTTTTAAATTAAATTTTATTGGAGCATAGTTATTTCTCCTGGACAGCAAAATGAATCAGCCATAACATATACCTATGCATGTGTACTTGGTAAGTGGCTTCGGTCACGTCCAACTCTTGGTGAGCCTTATGGGCTGTTGCCTGCCAGGCTCCTCTGTCCATGGGATTCTCCAGGCAAGAAGACTGGGGCGGGTTGCCATGCCCTCCTCCAGGGGATCTTCCCAACCCAGGGATCTAACTGGTTGTCTCTGGCCTATCCTGTATTGGCAGGTGGGTTCTCTACCACTAGCACCACCATATGTCCACTCTCTTTTGGACTTCCTTCACATTCAGATCACCACAGTGCATTAAGTAGAGTTCCCTGTGCCATATAGTATGTTATCATTAGCCATCTACTTTCTACATAATATCAACAGAATTAGCTAAATGTTCTAGAACATTTCCTCATAGGGCCTTATGGACAAGAAATTCTCCTTATGGTTTGTACCATTATTTTAACAATGTTGATTCATGATGTTACATAACAGTTTGCTTAAAAAATAGTACTGTCTTTTAAACATTATGACAACTCACCCACCTTATGTAACTTTCCTGCTCATTGCAGAGACATGTTCCTATACCCATTTGACAAATAAGAAACGGAGTCATAACAGAGCATAATGTAGCAAACCAGAGAGCTGAACCTGCATTTCTCTAACCATAGAAAAGGAAAGGAAAGTGAAGTCACTCGGTAGAAAAGGAAAGGAAAGTGAAGTCACTCGGTCGTGTCCGACTCTTTGCGACCCCGTGGACCGTAGCCTACTAGGCTCCTCTGTTCATGGATTTTCCAGGCAAGAGTACTAGAGTGGGCTGCCATTTCCTTCTCCAGGGAATCTTCCCGACCCCGCGATCGAACCCAGGTCTCCCGCATTGCAGGCAGACGCTTTACCATCTGAGCCACCAGGGGAGCCATAGAACATTAGATAAGAAAAATGATGTCCTGATAATTATTTGAGTATCTTCTAAAATAATGTTCTGTTTTTCCAAGAGAAGTCCTTTTCATGAACTTTTTTGCTCACTCACTGCATGCTTAGACTTTGCTTAGTATAAAAAGTCTAGCACTCAAACACAGGTAGGGAGTAAATTCAAATAAAATTGAGAAGTTGGGACTAGACTTGTAATTGTCTCCCAGAAATACAAAGCTTAAGTAGTTGTATTTTCTTCTCTCCTTCTCTTCAAGCTGAGTTTACTTTTTGATACAGGTGTCCGACCAGCATACACACCTGTTGCTCACTCTTCATAGTATATCAGTAAGAGAGTGTCTATTACAAGTAAAGAGAGAAAGAAAACTTATACAGAAATCACATAAGAATGTAGCTTGCTGTTGCTGTTCTTTCTCTCTTTTTTCTCATTTCTTTGTGGCATGGCAGCCACAGGCACTAGGAATGTCTTGAGAGAAAAGTTTGTGGTTCCCTGTGGCCCACAGTTAGGAGGCATGTTGTGTAAATGGATGAAACCCTAAGATTGGGGTCATTTATTTTGAAAACCTGGTACATTTTACCAGCTAAGCATTGGCTATTGCTCCCTGAAACCAAATACATCTTCATTTTCTAATTCTACTTTCCATGCAACTTTCCATGAAAAGAAATAACAAGAAACCATATTTCCTGGAGCCACATCAAGCTCTCAGGAGTGACTATCTAGATAGGTAAAGGCTAGTCCTACATCCTTAAGATCAAATGACACCTCTAATCTAAATCAAGACCAATTTTCACTTGTAAATTGCAGGGTTCTAAATATTATTTTAGGTCCTGTCTTCAGATTCACTCCTTTCAATTAAATATCTTTTCCCCAATGTTGAGATTTTTAAAATATCACCCAGTTATTTCCTAGTAAAGCACTTTCTCCTGTTTCTTAAAGAATTTGTTAACTCTTGAAATTGTCACTCCACCAAACATTTGTGAGGGTAATTAATTCATTTTCTTGATTTCATAGGTGTGATATCACATGTACAAATTATAATATATAGATCTACTTCCTGGCAATGAACACCATGTGTTTAGCACAGCGATCTATTACACCACACACACATCATTCGTTAGCACTAATGGACATTGTGTGCATAGACCCCACTCATTAACTGGAAAATTAAACCCCCTTGTGCATAAATAAATCACACCCCCAGGTACAGAAAAGCATTATTTCTATCTTTACATTTGCATTTCAGTGCTTGTCTAATAAATGCAGTTGGACTGTTCTATAATAGCTTTTATTGTAGCAAAGACTTGGCCTCGCTGAGAAAAAATTCCACATGCTGAAGTCTGTCCATTTTAATTCTAACAGCATTAGAAGCATCACTATCCTTTACTCGGTCACTAATATTTCATGTCAAAAGACGCACGATCAAAGTGGAGGACTGTTTTGCAGGCTGATCTTAAAATAAGGTAGAAGAGCTTTCCTGGTGGCTTAGTGGTAAAGAATCCACCTGCCAATGCAGGAGATGTGGGTTCAATATCCAGGTCGGAAAGACCCTCTGAAGAAGGAAATGGTAACCCACTCCAGTATTCTCACTTGGGAAATCCCATGGACAGAGGAGCCTGGTGGGCTACAGTCCATGAGTTCACAAAAGAGTCAAGACACAGTTTAGAAACTAAACAACAGGGACAATAAGGCACAAAAGGTCTTACAAGCAGGGAAAACTTCTGGCTGAGTTTCAGGCAGAGAGGCCTCTTGAATTCCGGATGTCACCCTTACCTGTTTCTGTCTGTCTGAAATGGGCATGCACGATCATATCATCAGTATCTGTGTTCTGACTTCCTCAGCTATAAAATGAGATAATAATGTTAGGAATGAGCTCGTCAAGTTGTTGGGAGAATTCAGTGAAATATAAGACATGAAGCATTTGTCACAAGACCTGCCACAACAGAACATAAACTAGGAAGAAAAAAAAAAAATCCGAGATGATCTACCAATTAATTGGAGCCACTTAAATCTTGATAACGAGGCCCTAGTGTGTGTCAGTCACTTTAAGGGATATTTGTCTTAACTTATCCCAAGAAATCCTCACTATTTGGATAGACAGTTATTATGTCCATTGCACACATAAACAGTGCTGCAGTTTATAGGAACCTGGACCAGAGAGGTTCAGCCATTCTCTCCAGGTTGCACAGATTCTGGCACAAGGACTCTGGGATTCAGGTTAATACGCACTCTGATTAAGACAAAAAGCTGAAGGACAAATGGAGGGGAAACTTTTTGTTCTAAAAAGATATATGTGAGTGTGCATGCTAAGTCACTTCTGTCATGTCCAACTCTTTGCAACCCTATGGACTGTAGCCCACTAGGCACCTCTGCCTACAGGATTCTCCAGGTAAGAATATTGGCGTGGGTAGCCACGTCCTCCTCCGTGGCTGCCAACAACTAAAGACCTAATTGTTGCTTCTCAGAGAATTTTTATAGAAAAGAGTTTACTAAAACAGAAAAATGTTTTTAATACTATCATCAAGTATGGAGAGATTCAATGATAGAAACTAGGCACCTTTAACATCACATAAATGAGTTTCAGAGTAACTTTTACCTGGCAAGCCATCTCAGCTCAAACTTCTCCTGAATCACACATGGCGGGGGTATGGGGCGAGACAGGATATGGGGGGAGCAGGGGAAGATATCCAGTCAAATTTTTCTATTTGTCAAAATTCCCTGGTAAAACTGCCAGAACTCCTGACTTGGTTTAAAGAGAGAGAGAGAGAGAGAGAGAGAGAGAGAAGGGTTGGTTTGGAATACAAACTACAAAAGAAAAAGGATGCTTTTATCCACATTTATACAGAGATTTTTTTTTTAATGTTTACTCGTAATGATTAGTGTTTGAAAAGATTTATCTAGTATAAAAATAGTTTTAAAGTTGTAAAAAATGTTTTAAATAAATAAGAGGCTCTGAGAACCATCTAGCATTTACAACATTGTTAAGTACTGATTGAAGTGTCATCTTAGCAAAGCTTCTAAAATTTCTTGCATAAACTAGTGCCCTTATATGTCTACATAAACAGTTTCTCCATTGCAAATAGTCTGTAGTTTTGGCTCTCAACAAAGACAGATACCTCGAACAAGGATTTAGTATTAGCATTTCTTCACAAAATGGTGAAAATTTACTATTACCTTTTCTTCTAATATAGCTTGGCATAATCTACATTATATTTAGATCCAACAAGCTAGTGTAAAAATCTCCATGTAAAAAAAAAAAAAGTGGCATTTTGTTGTAAATCAAAGAGATTTTTCTATATAGGCATGGCTATCCTTCCTGCATGTATAAATTAATAGAAGATTTTTTTAAAACTCAGTTTAAAAAAAATATATACATATATATCTAAAACATATAAATATATAGAATACAGAGAGGAAATTAATAATACTCTGTGTTTTTTTTCTCAAACTCAACCCAGTCCTATTCTTTGATTTGTACGTTTTGTATCTGTCACCACTCAGAATACCTAAGATTCTAAAATGCTGGATTCTGAAACATAACCATTAGAATAGTTGTTACATATTTAATTTCATGCTCCACTCAGCATAAAGCAGTTGGGAGACTACAGACCAAGGCGAATTAAGTGGTTCCTTAGATAATTTCCTGCTTAATTGAAAGCAGGTAGCTTCTTAAAAGTAATAATTGGCTTTGTTTCAAATGATTGTAAGGTTCTTTCTTTTTTTTCACATGGTCATTGGGCAACATTCTACTTAGTCCAAACACAAAGGGCTGGAAGTCTCCCACTGAGTCTAAGGGACAAGAATGTGACCTAGGGCTGGCAACAAATGAATGGAACACTCCATAGAGGTGTGTAGATATGGGGGCATGGGGCAAAGTGAAGGGAAAAAAGAAAATACACACACACATGTATATGAACATATACATATATCTTTTTTTCATTAACATGTACAATAAATTAGACATCCTTTCTATCACCCTGCTTTACTCTTAGCATTGGTTTAACGTTAGCAAGTCATCAGTTACGGAATTGGCAGCCCCAGTTCATATCTAACAGACAGGGATTCCTCATTACAGTATAAAACTAACCATCAGCTATAAAAGACTTCCCTGGTGGTCCAGTGGTTAAAGCTCTGTGTTCCAATGCAGAGGGCACCGGTTCCATCCCTGCTCAGGGAACTAAGATCCCACATGCCATGCGGTATGGCTAAAAACAAACAAAAAACTAACTTTAGCTGTGATATACTCTGTCTTTCTATAGGACATGCAGTACAAGGAGTGAGTGAATGTAAGCAACAAGGAAGACATAAAGGAATAAGGTTTGACACAAATACCTCTGTAGTTGACTGCAGAGTTCTGTTTTGCCAGGAGTCGGTATTCAGATCTTTTCAAATAAATTAGACCTGCTAAAAACCTTTTAAATTGCAGAAAAGATAGAATGCTTTCTTGTTGCCTGGATTTAAGAGAAAAACAGAGAAAGAGAGACAGAATGAGGCAGAAAGAGAGGAACAGATGTTTTTCAGAACCAAAAACTTTAAAACACAACAAGGGAAACATTGCAGTTTAGTCACTCAGTCATGTCTGACTCTTTGTGACCCCATGGACTGTAGCCGGCCAAACTCTGTCCATGGAATTTCCCAGGCAAGAATACTGGAGTGGGTTGACATTTCCTTCTGCAGGGTATCTTCTCAATCCAGGGATTGAACCCAGATCTCCCGAACTGACAGGCCAATTCTTTGCCACTGAGCCACCAAGAAAGCCCAAAAGGGAAATATATATAGTGAATTTTTACATTCAATTGCCAAGATGATTCATGCAACTGGTAACAGTGAACATCAGTACCCTACAGCTATGGGATAGTGCTAGAAATGCATTTTTGGCATTTACTAAAATTCTAACTTGTCTGAGTCTTTTTTTTATTGAAAAAGAGTGGATTTACAATACAGTGATTGGTTTTTGTTTGGCACCTGGATATAAACTTCACACCTTATATAATAATGAACTTATATGAATTATACACTTAAATGCAAAATGTGAAATTATAAAACTTATAAAGGAAAACAAAAGAAAATCTTCAAGATCCAGGATGTGGTGGAAATCTCTTAGACACGACACCAAAAGCATGATGCCTTTTAAAAAATCAAAATATTGATCTTCCTCAAAATTAAAAACGTTGTTGTCCAACAGAATCTTTTAAGAGTATAAAAAGACTAAGACAAACTACTTGCAAATCCCATGTCTGATAAAGGATCTGTATCTAGAATTTATGAACAACTCTCCAAACTCAAAAGAAACAAAACAATCTAATACAAAAACGGGCAAAAAAAAATAGGAAGAGAAATTTCACTGAAGAGGAATATGTGGCTGGCAAATAAAGATACTAAAAGATGTTCAACATTACTAGTCATTAGGAAACTGCAAATTAATAATATCATAGTGAGATATCACTAGACACATATTGGAACAGTTAAAATAAAAAATGCTGGCAAGGAGAGGGGAAACTGGCGTTCTCGTGCATGAGTGTTGGAAAAGTAAAATAGTACAGCATTTCTGGAAAACAGTTTGGCAGTTTCTTAAAAAACTAAACATATACTTACCATATGAGCCAGCAATCACACTCCTGGGCATTTATCCCAGAGAAATGACAATTTATGTCCACAGAAGAACCTTTAAGTGAATGTTCATAGCAGCTTTATTTGAAACAGACCCCAATAAAGGAAACCACAATGTCCTACAATAGGTGAATAATTAAACGGTGGTACATCCATATGATGAAATACCTCTCAGAAACAGAAAGGAACAAACTGTTGTTACATGCAACACCTTGTATGGATCTAAAGAGCATTGTGCTGAGTGAAAAAAGCCAATCTCCGGAGGTCACAAGCTTGTAAGAATCAATTTATATAATCTTGTCCAAAGAGCAAAATAATAAGAGATAAAGAACAGGCAAATAATTGCCAGCCCTCAGGAATGGTGGGGGCTGGGCTACTACAAAGGACACCAGGAAGATCTTAGTTGTGCTGGAATAGTTCCATGCCCTTGTGCTAGTGGCAACAAGAATCTGCAAATGATGAGATGACACAGAATCACAGGAACACTTTCTACCAACGTCGGTTTCCTGATTTTACAACTGTTTTATAGTTACATAAATGGAAGTGAAGGATATATGGAACCTGGCTGTACTATATTTGTATGAATCGATAAGAGGAAATTAACTTTAAGAAAAGATGTCCCAGGCCATACCCCAGACCAAGTAAACAAAAATCTCTAGGGAAGGAACCTAGCCAAGCATTTTTTTTTTAAAGTTCCTAGGGTAACACTCCAAAGAAGGCAATGGCAACCCACTCCAGTAGTCTTGCCTGGAAAATCCCATGGACGGAGGAGCCTGGTGGGCTGCCGTCTATGGGGTCGCGCAGAGTCGGACACGACTGAAGCAACTTAGCAGCAGCAGCAGGGTAACACTCAAGAGTGGCTAGGGTTGGAACCACTGGCAGCTAATGCTGTTACTGAAATTACAGGTGCGTGAAATACCTGTGTTTAAGTCTAGTTGAAGACAGAAAGGAAGGGGGAAAAAATAAATATGCAGATCTATTTTAACTACTTAAAATAGTGCCCCCACCCAAGTTGCAACCTGGCATTTAAGTGAACCCAAATAACGTGGCTGGGATAATCAGCCATCCATTATGTTACAGACCATTTTATACAAAAATGTCAACCCCAATAGACTGTTCTTTGGATTCTAAAGCACTTGGTATGGATTTTTAAATTTTTAAATTTCAAAATGCTTAGGAGTGATTACAATCACACTTAAATATGCAGCAATTTTCGAAAATTAATGTTTCACTGAATCCTCATTTTTGATGGGTAACAAAATGAGTTCGGGGGTTTAAAGAAAAAAAATTAACACACTGATGACTGCTACCAGCAGTTTCCTGGGAAACGTGAAAAGTTAATACTGCAATCTTGATCGTGAATTCTAATATTTAGTTATATTAATGATCATCTACTACCTCGTAGTCTCTTTACAGATAACTGTGCCTAATATGCTTAGTAATCACTCCTTAGCACCATCATCCAAAGATACTCACTGTGCATCATCTAGTCAACTGAGTCGGGAGATATACTTGAGAGTCCTTCTCTGCCTTGTAAGTGTTTAAAATCCATTTGAAGACAGAACTAAACATATAAACAATAAATAAAGCAAAGAAGGATATGCTAAAATCTGGACTAATGAAAAGTAGAAAGGGGCCAAAGTGCTTGTTTTTATTGGAGGTATTTTTGCAAGAGCTGGAAAGGGAATTTGCCTCCTCCCGGCTCAAGAATCCCGCAGACCAGCAGCTTCGGCAATGCAAATTTATGCTATCCGTGGGAGGGTTTCGCTTAGTTCTGTTATGGACTTACTTCCAAAAATGCAGATGTTCTGAAGCAAGAGGTTTGTCAAAAAAATACAAGTGAAATAAAGCATAAAGTATTACCTCCCACCCAACCCTGGTCAATAGCTAAGTCTTCTTCACTCCCTTCACCTCCCCAACTCCCCCACCTTCAGGGCTTAAAGAGTTTTGGATAGGGGTGGGCTGGGGTGAGAGTGGAAATGGTTGCATACTAAACTATTTGCCTTACTCAGAAAACCAGCAACCTCTTCCATCGCTCCTTCTTTCTCTCTCCCTCCCTCCCTCTCCTTGCAAATACTCTCCATTCTTATTTACACCACTACAACTTCGCAGATAATGTTTATTCCTGGGATGATCCATCGCCTTGGAAGCGTCCAGTCCCTAACTTCAAGTTCCTAAAAGTCTTGAAGTCTGCTTTAAAAGCAGAATAAGGACCGCCGCGTTTTAAGAGGGGATAGCGCAAAACTTTCTTAAAGTTGTTTTGCTATTGTGGGAGGTAATCAACACCTAATCTGACATTCTTCTCTAGGACAGCCGAGGTTTATCATTTTCGCTATTATGGCAATAAATTTTCCTCCTTTTGCTTTACGCCTTTTGGCAGGAGCCTAGACTCTGCAGGTGTGAGCGCTTCCAAGGGCTGAAGCCAACCGCCAGTAGGTCTGCCGAGTCTAGCATGGGATGCTGCCCAGCCAAACACAGAGCCGAGGGAGACCGCGACGGAGGAAGGGAGGCCGCAAGCACGCT